GATTTCTCTGATCTATGAGAGATCGGCTAGGAGAAAAGTTCTCTGAAAGTGAGACTAGCGAGGATTGTATTTCGTTACAATAGTGCTCGTATCTTGAGCTAGTGTATGCTCTTAAGTTTCTATATTGTAATGATATGAGATTTGCTAGTACATGCTTGTGTATGTGTATATTGCTCTCTCTTTTTTCCTCACTTGTCCTGCCTACCCAAAATGAGGTGCCAAGGGTCATCTTTATATACAGACAAAGTTGAAAGGTAATCTAGCTAATTGCCACCTTGATAGCCAAGCGAAAAACGCTTGGTGCCATGCAGAAATTCAACTTTTGAGGAGAAGACGTATATTCTTCATACTTGCAGGACGCACCAGGTTTAGGCAGTGAGACTAGACCCTTTGGGCGGTGGTTTCAAAGTTTTAAGAGGCTTTTACAAGTTTAGCCTATCAGAGTGTGTTTGTTTGTCCCATTTTTGTTGCGTTTTTCGTGTTTATTTTAACTTTCTTTTTCCCCAGTTTTAGGTCTTCTTTAGCTTTTAGTCCGTTTCGTATTTTATTATGTTTTTTTTCATCTTTAGGTGTTTTTCGTTTGTTTTTCTGGCTTTCTTCGTGTTTTGTCGTTTTTTATGTGTAGGTCGGGAGCTTCAGACGAATTTTCTCAATAGAAAAAATTGGTTTCAAGATCATAATTAAATAGACAGGTTCGTTAGCAACGCGTAGCAAAAAACAGAACTCAGTTCCGAGTTCAGACAAGCTCAAATGAGCCTAAAATGTAAAATGTTGACTCGCGAGTGCAAAGTCGCGACTTGCGACTTTAACAGAGCATGAAGTAGCAGTTCGCGAGATGTGTCGCGACCAACCCCAGATTTTGAAGAAATTGATGACGCGCGACTCGCGAGGATGTCGCGACTCGCGACCGAGGAAAGTGATAAGTCGCGACTCTCGACTTGGCCAATGTGAATTTCGAGATGCGGGTTTTAACATCAGATTTTGGACCTAGGGCATATTATTCCATCCCCAAACTTGTTTTCTTCAAGTTTTCTCTCCAACAACTCAATATTGTTAGGATAATTTTCTCTGCTTTTTTTTTTCTCTCATGCTTGGATTGTTGGACTCAAAGATATTTAGATTGAAATATTGCAACTCTTAATCCGATTGTAAGTTTTTCATGAGGTTGATTAGTTTTATGTTCTTAATTCCGGTTAACATGAGGTTGAATCTAAGCATGAGGTAATCC